CACACACACACACACACACACACATATATATATATATATATATATATGAATATAGTGTGTATTTTAAGAATGTACCAAGCAGAATTCGAATGGAAGTTATGTACTATATTGAATGTTATAATTTTAAAGGCATAAATTGAATAAGAGTTGAATGGATAAAACTAAAAGATATAAAGGTGTCATACTCTAATTAGTAATTACAGGGGAAAATTTGTTTAATGAGAAAAGATAATATAAAATTGAAACAGGACAGACAAAAGTATAAATATAATGATTGGAAAGACATTGAAACTTAGAAAAAGATATATAATTGAATTTAGATATGAGATAATTAAAAATAAAGTTGAGAAAACCAAGGGAGGGGAAATATTATGGAGAAAATGTTAAAATAGTAATAAGATGTGGATTAGAACCAGGGGTGGGATTCAAATATTTGAACAACCAGTTCTGTGGGCATGGCTTAGTTGGTGGGCATGGCTTGGTGGTCATGTTATTGGCTGGGCGTGGCCAACTCAATATCACTCACATCGAATAGCACTTATCCTAAATATTTCACTATAATCACCAAATTTCAGAATAAATCATTGTAAAAGAGTAAAATCATTTCTAAAACTTTTGTAAAATCATTGTAAAATCATTTCTAAAACTTTTGCAGGCATTCAGGAATGATATCATGACTGATGTTATTAAGCCCAAAGGAACCACAAGAGGTTTACCTGTGACTGAATTCCCAGCAAAAATATCAATGCATTTCTATCCTCTGCCTGTACCTGGATTCAGATATAAAGTATTCAGACAATCCATTTCTTTGAGAAAGTCTTCTAGTTTCATGTTTCCCTGTTCATTCATTACCACTCCCTTGAAGGTTGTCAAAATTGATTTAATCCAGGGAGAGTCTTCTAAATACAGGGCATATCGCAACTTCCTGCTCTCAGCAGATTTTCTTCTCTAGTGAATAATTGACCAGCTCCAGGTCCATCATGCACAAGTGCAATATGTATCATGTCCAGCGGTGGGCTTCAAAAAATTTAACAACTGGTTCTTTGCCTAGTTGCCTGGTGGGCATGGCCATGGTGGGCATGGCCTAGTCAGCCTCCTGTACCACAGCAGGGAGGCTGTTTTTGCTCTCCCTGCCCTTTCTTTGAGCCTACAGGAGGGCAAAAATGTTTCCCTGGGCTCTGGAAGTTCTCTGGAGGCCAAAAATGGGCCCATTTCTGGCCTTCCAGAACTTCAGGGTGAACCATTTCTCACCCTCCCCAAGCTTCTGCATGGGCCCTGCATTTACCTGCAATCCAAAATGGGCTGTGTGGGGACTCCTGGGAGGGGCAGGATAGGGTGGGTGGAGCCAGCCAGGGTGGAATTTGCCAGTTTGCTGAACTGGCCATAAAATTAACAACCGGTTTTCCCAAACCATTAGCAGCCCAGCCCTGATCTAGTCCACAAGTGACATATACTAGAGAGCATCTCCTTTGCTTTATCAGAGTGCACATGTCAGGATTCTCACTTTAAAATGTAAGCAATTGCTCTATTTATCAGATTTGAATTTTTCTATTAACAGTTAAGAATCTATTTCTGTAGTGCATTAATTGTAGAAGACAAGAAAAGATTAGTAAAGGAAGAATTGCAGTCTCCTCATAAGAAAGCCACCTCAGAAGAGAAGGGTCATTTGCAACATGTGAGAATAAGATTTACTCTGACAAAACAAGAGGATGAGGATGTAATGTTAGAGAAAAGTAAAGATTGATTAAACTACTGTTATCAAGCCTATGCAAATCAACTCTGCCATTGTTCTGGGTTGCCTGAATTTGAAACATTGTCCTGCTCAGACAAAGTCACTGTTTAAGTAGCTTATTTTTTACAAATAAGGTACTACTTAAATATCCATAGCTGGAAAAGTTAATAAGAGAGTAGGAGAATGACTATAGCTGTCAGATTAGTTTACTTCCTTGGCTAGGTATTTTATTTTTATTATTTTCAAACTCTGTCCTTGAAAGCTCAAGAGATTGAAGACAGTAATGTTCAGCAGACCACTGGAGTGTTGTACTATTATTATTATTATTATTATTATTATTATTATTATTATTATTATTATTTCCAGTGTTTCCTTTCTATTACTTGTTAGTCTCCAGTTCTCTGTCTGCAGGAAGCTATGCTATAAAAGTACAGGGATTGGAAGATTCCTGAAGTGCAATTTCATTTGGGTGAGGAAATGATTCAGTCATGACAAAGACTTAATTCAACAATAGTTCTGAGGCAACCATGAACTTCATTTATATAATATGTCTTCTGAACAATGGTATTAGATCTTAGTAACATGAAAATGAGAAAATAGTAAATAAATCATAGTAGTGATAAATTTACTCTGGCATCCTATTTTTGTACAAACAACTCTACAGAAATCCTGTATGCAGAATAATAAGTCAATTTCTCTCTTATTGTTTCCAATCAATAATCTAATAACAGAACAGGTTAATAATAAAATGACATATTGAGTAAGGATTTGGGCAATTACCACAATCTATCATGTTACTTCAAATATGATATGAATTTCAAGAGAGTTGAGCATTGCTACTTCAGTCATTACTCAAAATCTCCTGACACTTTTTTTAATAATACCCAAAGGGGAATTTTTTAAAATAAAACCTCTGATCTCAAAAAGGCTAAGGAGAACAGAACAGAAGATCAATTATTGTTGGATAAATAAGATGTAGTAAGTCATTGTATCCTAATATGTATATCTGTATCACATAATACTTTTCATTAAGCTTCTGAATTATGATTTTGATTTAGGTCTATGTTATAATGTTGATTCCTAATTTGATTCACATGCCTGAAGTAAATTAGATTTATTATTTATTTGTTTAATTGTCTTTATATTTCTTTCTCATGAAGGAATGGATTGTAACGAGCAATACAAGGATCTTGAAGTAAATTCTGCTTACTTTATCTCTAATTTAATAAAAGATTACTCATTATTGTAAAAAGAGAAATGCATTGTTTGTGTATTGGTTAATATATTTATTGACATGTGTCAATAAATTTAATTTACTACTACTTTATAAATGTAAATTTAAAATATAAATTTATAAATTTACTTATATTTACTTCACCATAATCCACACTAATCCATTTTTAAATTGGGAAATTTTGTCATTTTTGTTGTTGTTGGACATTTGCTGTTTGGTATATAGATGTTTTATATTTCTTATATCTTATCCATTAATATAATATAATTATAGCTAATTTTACAGCATTTTTTTAGACATGGGTATGGGTAGAGTATTTTTGTTGTTTACATTTGGTACAAAAAATTATGTATATACATCTCTTTTCCTACTATATCTCTTTCATTATCCATTAAAATTTTTCCTACTATCTCTATCTCTATAAATTAGAATTTTACCTACTGTCTCTATCTCTCTATATAAGAATTTTTCAATATGGTAAAAAGTATTCAAAAGAACAAAACAAACAAAAGATAAAAAGAAAGTACATTTTAAAAAGAACATAAATTTTAACTGAAATTATCATCATAATTTTTATGCACGTAATTTATATTTTAGTCTAAACAGTAATTACTCTTACTATTTTCTTAGGAATCATCTTTATTTATTAAAGAATAAACATATTTTAAAAATATGCATTTTGAAATTCATTGCTGTAAGATAATATAAGCAAGCAGGATAAAGGATTAATGTATGTGTGTGTGAATAAATTTCTTCCTTTAAAAGGATAACTATTCTGAATGTATTTCTTTTTAGAATATATAAGTGAAATAAATATGCAGGCCTAATGTTAAATAAGTCTATATAATAACTTCAATATTACATTCTTAAACAAAATATTAGCCATGAAAGAAGCTGATTATCAGAGCTGAACCTGGAAAATATCATATTTTAGTGATGTGTATATCATATTGTAACAATTTCAGCGTTCCTACATAATGAAGAATTGGGGTTGAAAAAGAAAGCCAAAGGGAAACATAGAACAAACTAAAATTCTAATAATTGAAGTGGAAGAGGAAGTTCTGCATACAATCACAATATTTTAGATTTTTGTACAACATGGTGTGGGAGGAGGGACAGATAGGGACTGAAACAGAGAGTGGAAAAGTCTACTTCTATGAATTCAGCTCTAATTTCTAGATTAACAGATTTGGAAAGACAACTTGATTCAGTTCATGATGTGAAAGAATTTAAAACATATACTTTAATTATTCATGCTTTATAGTGCACAGCTAGATCAGTACCCTGCTGTTTTTATATGCACATTTATGCAATAAGTTAAATGTGAGCATATGTGTAACTGAAAACATGTGTCTTATTAAATAAGCAATTGTTTTTCAAAGTCTTCAAAATATTAATTATATTTATATGTATATATATATGTTTAGTTAAATCAGGTTTTCCCAAGATATTTGAATACAGATGCCTTGAATACAGATGCCTTGAATACAGATGCCTGTTCTACATGCCGGTTGAAGATTACAAGGCTTGATATGGAGCTCATCTGTGCACTTCCAGTTTTGAGAAAATTACACTGAAAAAAATCCATATAATCTAAAATTAGAGATTTTATATGAAATTGTATATGCATGCCAGAATTTGTATACTTCATGTTAAAAGAATTTTAAATCTTAACTTATATTTATTATGAGTAACATAGGCAATAAGATATACATTATAACCATAGAATTTTTCAGCTTGAGATTTTTGAAGTTTCATCTTCTGCATATATTTTTGTTCCAAATATTTTTAGAGATTGACACTATAATTCTAAATTCCAGCAACCCTGTTTGTTTTATGACAGTAACTGATCACCACACATATATACTATTATTTTATTTTCTGCGTAATGAGTGCAATATTATATCAGTTGTTTCAAATATTGTCCTTGTGCTATATTGCATTATAAATGTTATAATGAATGCACTGCAGAGGAACCAAACTGAAATTACTGACTTTATACTTTTGGGATTTGGGGAGCTCCATCATCTGCAGATCTTCCTGTTCTTTGTGTTTTTAGTGATCTTCATTTCTACTATAATGGCCAATTTACTTACTGTTATTGTAATTGTGATTGATCAGTCCCTGCACACTCCAATGTATTTCTTTTTGGGAAATTTAGCCTGCTTGGAGATGATATATAGTTCAGCCATTCTTCCTAGAATGATAGCTGCTCTCATGACTGGAGACAACACCATCTCTGTAAAAGGATGTATGACACAGTTTTATTTTGGTTCATTCCTGGTTTGTACAGAATGTTATCTTCTCTCTGTGATGTCTTATGACCGTTTCTTAGCTGTTTGCAAGCCTTTGCATTATGCAACTCTTATGAATAGCAAGGTCTGCATTCAGCTTGCAGCAGGCTCATGGCTCAATAGTATTTTAGCCATCTCCCTGTATTTGGGCTTGATTTTACAACTGCAGTTCTGTGGACAAAATGAAATTGACCATTTCTTTTGTGAGGCTCTCCCACTGCTGAAACTCTCCTGCAGTGACATGTTTCTGGTAAAGTTTGTTACTTTCACTGTGGTTTTTATCATAACTTTCCCTCCTTTTGTTTCAACTTTGATCTCCTATATCTATATTATTGTTGCCATTTTGAAAATCCCATCTGCCACAGGCAGACAAAAAGCTTTTTCTACTTGCTCTTCTCACTTGATTGTTGTCTCTATTTTTTATGGAGCCATTGTAGTTGTATATCTCATACCAAAAACAGAGGAAGTGAAAGATTTCAATAAGATATTTTCTCTCTTGTATACGGTTCTGCCCCCTTTACTCAATCCTCTCATATACAGCCTGAGGAATAAGGATGTCAAAGCTGCTCTGAGAAAGATGGCAGGAAAGTTGTTGGATGTACAATGTGTAAATCAGTGATCTAAAACCTGATAGATTCTTAAAACTTCCAAATTAATATGAACAGTTTGCAATTGTTGATTTTAGTGAAATGGTACATGATTGTCTATGAAGTGTATTTATTGAGTTGAATTTGTTGGCTGGTTTGTTTGGTTGGCTGGTTGGTTGGTTGGTTGGTTTATATGTATTTATGAAATTTATTTGCTCTCCATCTTGTATACAACAACTCTGGGTAGCTTACAACATTTAAATTATTTTAAGTTCATGTTTCCCCTCTTCTCCTCATTTCTAGAATATACTACAAAATTTGCCACTCAAATCCAAATGTATCTTTAGGCTGAAAACAGCTGCAGAACTCTTTTTTAAAATAAATTTTATTAAGTTTTCAAATATTAAAAACATAAAATAAAACTTTATACATTGTTATCAACATCAAGACATCTTTTGCATGTCCTCATATTTTTCAGCATACTTATTCCTTTACCATTACATCTTACTCTTACTATAAATCAATATCTTTTATCCTTACATCTCAATCTTCTCCATGGTGTATATTTACATATTCCCACATTCTTTTCCTAATTGCCATTTTATTTTATTTTTATTTCTAAACCGCTCATCCCAGGCATCCCAGGCCCTATAATAAATTGAATCTTCTGTCTTTTATTTTCATTGTTAGCCTGTCCATCTATATACAATCTTTTTTTTTATAACCCTTGGAACCCTTTTTTCCTTCCAGAGTTGTGCGTACAAAATCCTTGCAGTTGTTAATATATGTAATATAATATATCTACCTGTTTTATTGCATTTTTGTGTTATTATACCTAATAAAAAAGTTTCTGGACTAAATTCAATTTTCTGATTCGTGATTTCTTCTATCCATTGTTAAACGGTATTCCAATATTTTTTCACTTCCTGGCATGTCCACCAGGTATGAAAATAAGCACCTTTTTCTTTTCCACATTTCCAACAATTTGGGTCTGAGTTAAACATTTTTGCCAGTCTAGCGGGAGGAAGGTGCCATCTGTAGAACATTTTGTATTGATTTTCCTTGTATGCTGTGGATGTAATTAGTTTGTAATTTGATCCCCACATTCTCTCCCAATTTTCCAGGTCTATATTGTTGCCAACATTTTTCACCCATACCACCATCGTCTCTTTGACCACCTCTTCTTCCATTTTAAAATCTGGTAGAAAGTTATATATTGTTGAAATCATTTTCTTTTCTACTTCTTGCAGAATTTTATCTAATTGATGCTTTTCCATGCAGAAACCAAATTGTTCTCTGTCCTTCTGATATCTCACCTGAATTTGCATGTATGGCCACCAATCTATCTTTATATTTTGTTGTTGTAATTCTTGTCTCATTTTTAATCTTCCTTGTGTGTCTAATAGGTCTTTGAAATTCCTCTTTTTTCCCAGATCCATTGCATTTGGGTAGATTTGTGCTTCCATAGTTGACAACCAGTTCAGTATTTTAGTATACTGATTCTTTTAAATCTTGTTCCATGTCCAAATTAGTGAATCTCTAACCATGTGTCTCTGAAAATATGCATGCTGTTTACATTTCCCATCCCATAGGAAACTATGCCACCCTCTCTGCAAGTTGTGACCCTCTATCAACAATACTCTTCTATTTTCCAGGTTGATCCAATCTTTAATCCATACCATAGCCTCAGCCTGATAATACATTTCCCAGTCAGGGAGTTCAAAGCCACCCCTTTCTCTTTGGTCCTGTAACAATTTCATTTTTATCTTGGTTTTTTCCCATCCCAAACAAATTTACTTATTATTTGATTTAATTCTCTAAAAAATTTTTTATCCAATCTTATTGGTACAGTTTAAAAAAAGATATATTTTTGGTAGGGTAGGCATTTTAATTGCTGCAATTTTCTCCAGTAGCGATAGCTGTAATTTCCCCCACATTTACAAATCTCTTTTTATTTGTATTATTAATTTGTCATAGTTATCTTTTTTGATTGAAGAGCATCTTGCTGTTAACCAAATGCCTAAATATTTTACCTTTTTCACGCTTTGCATTCCCAATTTTCCTTCTAATTCTTTTTTTTTTTTTGCTTATATTTTAAATTTTTAGTCAATAATTTTGTTTTGTTTTTTATTAATCTGAAGGCCTGTGACCTTGCCAAATTCCTCTATTTCCTTTATTAATTTTACTCCCGTATCCTCTGGATCTTCCAGAAAAAAATACTATATCATTGGCAAATGCCTGTACCTTATGATGCTCCTTTTTAATTAAAGCTCCTTTGGTTTTTGCATTTTTCCTAACGTTTTCCAGTAAGTTTACTACGGTAGGAATACAGAGAAGGGGTGACACTGGGCATCCCTGCCTTACTCCCTTGTTAATCTTAAATGTTTCCATTCTGTCACCGTTCATTATTACACTGGCCGTCTGTGTCGTATAAATTGTCAAAATCAATTTAATAAATTTACTGCCAAATTGCATGCTCTTTAATTGTTGTATTATGAACTGTCAATTATCATTATCAAATGCCTTTTGCGCATCGAGGAAGACCATTGCAATTGTTTCCTGGGTTTGCTTCATAATATTCTATTATATTCAGTACCATTCTGACATTATTTTTAATTTGTCTATTCAGTAAGAATCCATTTTGGTCTCTACGAATGATCTGATTAAGGTTTTTTTTTCAATCTTTCTGCCATTATGGACATTAATATTTTATAATCAACATTTAAAGGGGATGTGGGCCTATAATTTTGAATTAATTGATGGTCTGAATCTTCTTTTGGGATCAATATTATGTATGTCTCCCCCATGATTTAGGTAATTTTGCTGTCATCAGTACCTCATTATAGAGTTCTAATAATTGCATGTCTAATTTTTCTTGGAGCGTTTTATACAGTTCCCCTGGGAGACCATCTGGTCCCGGTGTCTTATTGTTTTTCTGTTTCAGGATTGCCTCTTGCAGTTCTCTTAATGTTATTTCCCTGTTTATATCTTCTTTATCCTCTTCTGGGATCACAGGTAGCCCCTTTCCTTCTAAATAATGTTGGATATTTCCCTCTGGTACGTCTTCCCTACTATATAATTCCTCAAAAATAATTTTAACAATAAGTTTTTTTCTTTTCAGTTTGATGTTGTAGCGTACCATCAGCATCCTTCAATTGTTGGATTGCTCTTTTTTCTTTTTTTTTCTTAAGTCTATAGACTAGTCACTTTCCTGGCTTATTCATGTGTTCAAAATAATTCTGTTTTATCTTTTTTAATGCCCTGTAACCATTCATCTTGTGCTAACATATTCAATTTATGTCTAATCATTATCCTCTCCGTATTTGCTATCGTATTATGTTGTATTTTTTCAAGTGTTTTTTTCTAACTCCTTAAGAGTATCTAGTAGTTTAGATTGTTCTCCTTTTTTCCCCTTATATCTATGTGTATTATATGAAATTGCTAGGCCCCTGATGTATACTTTAGTCATGTCCCATAGGTTTGGAATTGATGTTTTTTGTTTTTCTTCAGAAAGAACTCCAATTCTTTCCCCATCATCTTAACACATTCTTTTTCTTTTAGGATCTCCTTGTTTAGCACCCATCTTCTGTTTTTTTTCAATCCTTTCCAAATTATTTTAATGGGATTATGGTCCACCCATATGTTAGATTCAATTTCTATTTCTTTTATATTACATTCCATCTCCCCATTTGCCCATAACATATCCAATCTTGACCATGATGTGTGTGGTGCTGAATAGTAAATATACTGGTTTTTGTCTGGATTTCTTTTTCTCCATATATCTTTTAATCCCAATTCTTCTGCCATTTGATAGAATACTTTGGGTAATGTTTTCCTTTTCCTTTTTCCCCCTGGAATGTCATTATTGTAATCTTTTCCTAAATTTGCTATTGCATTGAAATCACCTAGCAGGCATATATTCTCATATTCCTGTTCTACTAATTCTCTGTATAGTTTGGTATAAAAATTTTCTTGTTTCTCGTTCAGTGCATATATCACTGTCAATAACGTTTTCTTATAATTTATATAAACTTCTAACATCAAAATCCTACCTAACAGCTGCAGAACTTTGATACAGATTGGTAAATTGTAGAGTTCAAGCTAGGCTTAATCCAATGGATTTGTAACTAGGGCATCACATCAAAGATCTTGAGTGGCTCTTAATGAGGACCCAGGTTATCAGGCCAATATGCTGAATCTGTAAACCACATAGATAGTGCTGTAAAGCATTATGAAATAGTAAATAAATTTAAGTGTTCTTGCTATTGGTATTGAAGAATTCAGCTTAAAAGAATATGCAACTTGCCTATGTAATTTGGTTTTATTTATTTTCTTTATATTGCCACCTGTCTTATATAATATAACTCTGGAGGGGGGATTGTATCACAAACAGTAAAAGCTATAAAAAGGTAAAAAAATAAAAAATAAAAACCAACACAGTAACTCCTACCACTCCAAACTACCGTGCATCTTCAAACATCCATAAATAACATTTCTGGCCTGATTCAACTCACATTGCCTATGGGAAAAACCACCTTTTCAAAGCTTTTTGGAAGGCTAAGATAGTAAAGACCTTGTGGATGTCAGAGAAAAGGGTATTCTAAAAGGTAGAGGCAGCAGTCAAGGAGGAATGTTACCTATTAACATTCCTATTAACATAGCAATATTGAGGGAAGAGCCTGGAACATGCTACTCTGTAAGACTTAGTGGAATAGTAAGCCAAAAACACAGAGAGGCCATACTAAATAGAATCTGACCCCACTGACATTCTAGGCTTTAAATATGATAATCAGGATCATGAATCACAACCAAAAAGAAATTGGAAGCCATGATTGTTCACACAACAATGGCATGTGCATGTGTAAAATCTGAGGCACCTAGAACTGTGTGTTCCAGAAACCCAGGTAGGAAATGATCATGGGTGATTAAGCAAGACTCTTGGTGAAATTAGTGTACAAGATGAATCTGTACAAAGATGCCATCCTTCACAGCTGTACCATGAGCAGAAGACATGAGTCCAGGAGGATGTACA